CGCGCACTACCACGTCCGGCTAATTTTTTGATTTATTGTAGAGATGAGGTCTCACCAAGTCTGAGCGACAGAGTGAGACTCCAACTCAAAAAAAAAAAGAATCTCTAAACAAAAATTCACTGCAGCCTAACGCAGTCTCCCACAACAACGAAACCGGCACACTAATGCCCATGGGTTCCTAGAACATTTACCTAGCAGGGGAAGTCTGTACCGCAATGGGCCGCCCTCCAAGAAATAATTCCGGTTTTTTGGGGAGGTCCCCTTTTGTGTGTCCCCCACCCCCAAGCAGAGCTAGTTCCCAGTTGCAGCCAAAAACCTGTGGTTTTGGCTTCATTCAGCCAGTATAGGAAAGCATCCTCTCCCTCCAGGCTCCGCCCCCTCAACCTGAAGCCCTATCCAATCAGCGGCGCTGGGGTGGAAACTGTCCAATCAGGCGCGCAACCCGGGAGGCGAAGTCGGCTTCCGGGCTCTGTCTGGTCCTCTGTCTAGCCCGCCCGTGGAGTTGGCGTCTCCTCTCCGCTTCCTCTCCTGTTTTCCGGTAGACCCGGGTGGCCCTGCTGCAGCCTCTGTCACCCCGCGACCTGCAGTACTGGGAGATCCTTCGGCAAGACGCCAGAACACTCCGGAAGCCGGGGAATGGTGAGTGCGCGCGGCGGATGACCAGAGGTGGAGAAGGAGACCGGTTGGAACCTGCCAGGAACCGGCTGTGGCGGGACACGGGCTTCCGGTTGTCAGCCTTGGAGTCTTTGGACCCAGGTCCCTGCTAGCGCAGGTCGGCCCTCAGTTCTCCATGGTCGCCGAGTGGGGCTGGGACTGCAGCCGGGACCCTGGGAGTCCTTTCCCGTCCCTGCGCAGTGCCTTTGCCCCGGCATGGAGCCCTCCTGGCTGCTCTGCGTCTGCAGCTCCGTGTCTCCGTCAGATTGTGCGGGGACCACAGGAGTGTCAGAGGGGAGAGTCCCGACCCAGGGTTTGGTTTGTGCGTGGGAGGAGCTGTGGTCCCTGGGGTGCCCCGTTTCTCCTTTCTTTCCAGGGGTCACCTGTTATACCCTGCGGCTGCCAAATGTATGGAAAGCAGGCTCCCAAATCCATCACCTTGGCCCTCCAGCCTAATCACTGCTACCGAAATCCCTGGCGACCATTGGTCTTTTTACTGTCTTTATAGTTTTGCTTTTTCCAGAATGTTATTTACTTGGAATCATATGTAGCCATTTCAGACTATCTTGTTTCACTTAGTAATCGCATTCATGATCTCTCCACGCCTTTTTGGTGGCTGGATAGCTTATTTTCTGGATAGTGTTCCATTGTATGGATATACTACAGTTTATCCATTCACTTATTGAAAGATGTATCTTGGTTGCTTCTAATTTTCGACATGTATAGAATAAGGCTGCTATAAATGTTTCTGTGAAGACTTGGGTAGGCATCAGTTTTTAACTTGTCTGGGTAAATACCCAGGAGTACAATTGCTGAATCGAATGGTAATGTTGTAGGTGTTTTGAACTCCACTGTAAACTTAAATCAGCAACCTCAGGTTCTTATCCCACGACCTAGAAGATTAAGGAATGTGAACACCAAAGGATGAGTGAAAGAAGGAGTTTATTAACCAACAAAGCTCTCTAGAAAAAGGGAGTAGGTACCAAATGGGTTATCCCAGTGCTAGGAGTTTTTTTGTGGTTTTTATCTTATCTTTTTGGGGGATGTTTCTCTCATTTACATCTCATCTGCCCCTTACTTCCCAATTTTTATTGCGCATGCGGGTCCTTGACCAAAGTTACTCCATCTTAAATATTACCCATAAGTATCACAGAAAAGCCCACTCAAGGGGGTGTAAAGCCTCAATGCTAATGCTATGTTAATGATATTATAATAAGCCAAAGCCGGCTCGGTGGCTCAGCCTGTAATCCCGTGCCTTAGAAGGCTGAGGTGAGTGGATTGCCTGAGCCCACGGGTTCAAGCCCTGCCTGGGCAACTTGGCGAGACCTCATCTCTACAATAAATCAAAAATTAGGCGGGCGTGGTAGCGTGCGCCTGTAGTTCCAGCTACTTGGAAGGCTGAGGCGGAAGGATTGCTAGAGCCTAGCAGGTTGTGGCTGCGGTGGCCGGGAGCGGCCACTGCACTCCAGTCTGGATGACAGAGTGAGACTCCAACTCAAAAAAAAAAAAAAAATTATAATAAGCCAAGGCCAAGTTAGGACATTTAATTAAGCTACTGCGCCTGCCTTTAAGCAGCAAAAAGTCCCATTTAGCAGTACATCCTGGGTTGGAAGGATGTTCTTAACCACACTCACAACATTTCCTGCCAATAGTTATATAATGGAGGTGGTGAAGGGGACGTTCCGCAGGTGGTAAGTCTCCTCAAGACCCTCCCTCTCTGTCTGCCTATCTCCTCTCTCAGTAAGACTTTATTTCTCATTTTAAGATTGTCTTTCAAAGTGGCTATAATATTTTCTCTCTTTCTTTTTTTTTCTTTTTTTTTTTGTTTGTTTGTTTGTTTTTGAGTTGAAGTCTCACTCTGTCGCCCAGATTGGAGTGCAGTGGCGCTCCCGGCCACCGCAGCCTTGACCTGCTGAGCTCCGGCAATCCTTCCACCTCAGCCTTCCAAGTAGCTGGAACTACAGGCATGCGCTACCACATCCGGCTGATTTTTTGATTTATTGTAGAGATGAGGTCTCTCTGCCCAGGCGGGTCTCGAACCCACCGGCTCAGGCAATCCACTCACCTCAGCCTCCCAAAGGCGCGGGATTACAGGCTGAGCCACCAAGCCCGGCTTTTTTTTTTTTTTTTTAGTTGGAGTCTCACTTGTCACCCAGGCTGGAGTGCAGTGGCACGCTCACGGCCACTGGACTCAGGTGATCCTTCCTCCTCAGCCTTTGAAGTAGCTGGAACTACAGGCACCACACTACCACACCCAGATAGTTTTTCTTTTCATTTCTTTTCTTTTTGAGTTGGAGTCTCACTTTGTCGTCCAGGCTGGAGTACAGTGGCATGCTCACAGCCACAGCAGCCTCGACCTGCTGGGCTCAGGTGATCCTTCCACTTCAGCCTGGAACTACAGGCACACGCTACCACTTCTGGCAGACTTTTTTATTTATTGTGGATATGAGTTTTCACCAAGTTGCCCAGGCTGGTCTCGAACCCATGGGCTCAGGCAATCCTCTCACCTCAGCCTCCCAAAGTGCTGGGATTATAGGCATGAGCCACTGTGCCCTGCTTTTTTTGCAATCTTAATGTCTCATCTCCCTCCCTTTTCTTGCCTTATGATTTTTCTGCAACTATCAACATAATTATATGATTTTTGCTTTTTAGGTTATTTATGTGATGGATTACATTATTTAATTTATGAATTTGAATCAGACTTGCCCACCTGTAATAATTTCAACTTGGTTGTGGCGTGTAATTATATTATGTGTTTTTAGATTGAGCCTTTAGCTTTCTTTTATAATGTATTTCTATAGTTTTGGTAGTAGGATAATGTTGGTCTCATAGCATGAATTAGAAAATATTTGCTTCTATTCTGGAAGACATTGTAGAGAATTGGTGTTTCTTCCTTAAAAGTTTGGCAGGATTTACCAGTGTGATCATCTAGGTCTTCTTTCCTTTTATGAACAGCTATTAGTTACTGATTGGTTTCTTTAATACATATAGGCCTATTTCATGTTGTTTATTTCTTCTGTATGAGTTCTGGTAGATTGTTTCTTTCAAAAATTGATCCATTTCATCTGCCAAATATGTGTTAATGAAATTGTTTCTAATATTATTTTATGGTCCTTTTAATATTCATTGGTATTGATAGTGGGAGTCTTTTTCTTTTCTTTTCTTTTCTTTTCTTTTCTTTTTTTTGAGTCGGTGTCTCACTCTGTCCCCCAGGCTGAAGTGCAGTGGCACACTGCTCACGGTCACCCCAGCATCAACCTGCTGAACTCAGGTGATCCTTCTGTCCCAGCCTTCCAAGTTGCTGGAAGTATAGATGTGCGCTACCATGCCCGGTTAATTTTTTGATTTATTGTAGAAATGAGGTCTTGCCAAGTTGCTTGAACCCGTGGGCTTAGGCAATCCACTCACCTCGGTCTCCCAAAGTGCTGGGATTACAGGCTGAGCCACCGAGCCCAGCCAACAGTTTTTTGTTTTTTTTTTTTAATCCTAAACTCTCTTTCTCTCACTTGTGGCTCTACATCAAGATAAGATGAAAAGTCTTTGTCCTTTCTCTTTTGTCACTGGCTGGAGATGGAAACCATCCAAAACCCTGTCTATGGGAGTGAATTCTCACCCTAGCATTCTACCTAACCTGAATAAAAAACCCAGACCTGGCTCATGTGAAGGTCTTATAAACTGACTAAAGAGTTCCAGTGCTGTCACTCTCACCCATCCTCCTCTGCACATATGTGGGATGTTTTAGGACTTGGTGGCCTTTGAGGATGTGGCTGTGAACTTCACCCAGGAGGAGTGGGCTTTGTTGGATCCTTCCCAGAAGAATCTCTATAAAGATGTGATGCAAGAAACCTTTAGGAACTTGGCTTCTATAGGTAAGAATGACAATGGTTTTGTTTGTTTTTTTTTTACTTGATCAATAAGAGAATAAGTGTTTTATGGTCATCAATGCTGTGACATGAATTGGGAGGTGGAAAAGGAATAATTTACTGAATGAATCAGGCATCATCAAGGCATACAATGAACTTAGTGTCTTAGTTCACTTTGTATTGCTACAACAGAATACCTGAGACTGGGTAACTTACAAAGAAAAGAGATTTGTTTTAATTCACAATTTTGGTGACTGGAAAGTCCAAGATTAGAAAGCTGCATCTGGTGAGGGCTTTATAAAACTTCCCTTCATGGCAGTAAGCAGAAGGGAAGTGGGTGTATACCAAGAGATCCATGGTGAAAGAGGAAGAGTGAGTCTACGAAGCTAAATTTGCTTTTATAACAACCTGCTCTTTGGTCACCAATCTGGTGGCTCAAGAGCAAAAACACACTCACTCCCTAGGGAGATACTGAATCTATTCATGAGGGCTATCCCGCCCCACCTATACACAGACACCTCCCACTAGGCCCTGTCACCCAACACTGCCACATTGGGGATCTATTTGTAATATGAATTCTATAGCACCTAGCCTCTAGTAATTTTTTAATAATTTCTAATCATTATATTTTTGGGGTTCACATTTTAGGAACTAAATGGGAAGACCAGATCATTGAAGATCAGTACAAAAATTCTTGGAGAAATCTAAGGTAATTTGGAATTGTGGCAGGAAGCAATATCTCTTAAAGGAATCTTAGCATGCCATTATATTTTTATTATTATTTTATTTTATTTTATTATTTTTTTTGAGTTGGAGTCTCACTCTGTCGCCCAGACTGGAGTGCAATGGCCGCTCCCAGTCACCGCAGCCTCGACTGCTGGGCTCCAGCAATCCTTTCCACATCAGCCTTCCAAGTAGCCAGAATTACAGGCGCGCGCTACCACGCCCGGCTGATTTTTTGATTTATTGTAGAGATGAGGTCTCGCCAAGTTGCCCAGGCAGGTCTCAAACCTGCGGACTCAGGCAATCCACTCACCTCAGCCTCCCAAAGGCACGGGATTACAGGCTGAGCCACCGAGCCCGGCTCGCCATTATATTTTTAAAATGAGGAAACAAGACAAGTAAGTATCACATAAAATTATTTATCCTTATGAGATGGTCACCAAAAATATATATCAATGTAACATAGATATTCACTGCAAAGTTGATCACTGGACACAGTCTAAGAAATGGCATATATGAATATAACTGCTTTGATAATAGCTATGGTGGAAGTAGCCTTGTTGCAAAGTAAACGGTCCATTTACTGACAACAAAAAACCTGTACTTTCCCTGATACTACTAGCAAGACAGTAAGTCTGCTACATATAAACCTTCAAGTCACAAAGTTGAACCATGCATATCTGCCTTTTTTTCTCTCTACCAGGTGTCAGTATAGCTAGATAAATATATACAGTCTATACAGCTGTGTCAGTTGGGTTCTTAGGCTAACTTTGTTGAACTTAAAACAAATTGGACTTATAAATGTGATCTTGGAACCAAATTCATTTGTATATGGGGGACTTCATGTATAAGTTCAAGACCTGTTAATAAAATAGAAAATCAATGAACCAAACTATAATAATGTGATTGTCATGGTTTACAGAGTCATATGTTAGAAATACTGTGTAAAAGCAAAGAATATAGTGTACAGTAACCTTCAGCCAGATTCCAAATCTTTTTTTTTTGAGTTGGAGTCTCACTCTGTTGCCCAGACTGGAGGGCAGTGGCCACTCCCGGCCACCGCAGCCTCGACCTGCTGGGCTCCAGCGATCTTTCCGCCTCAGTCTTCCAAGTAGCTGGAACTACAGGTGTGCGCTACCTCGTCCGGCTCATTTTGATTTTATTGTAGAGATGAGGTCTCGCCAAGCTGCCCAGGCGGGTCTCGAACCCGTGGGCTCAGGCAATCCACTCACCTCAGCCTCCTAAAGGCACGGGATTACAGGCTGAGCCACTGAGTCCGGCTCAGATTCCAAATCTTAAATGAACAAGAAACATTTTATTGGAGTAAAACCATGACTGCTGTATGTGTGAAAGTGTTCTTATGTAATTCATCTTTTCATAGGTACATCTTATCTCACTCTGGATGGAGACCCTATGAGTGTGAGGAATGTGAACAGAATTCATATAAATGTAAACCATGTCAGAAAACCTTTGTTTCTCTTATGAGTATTCAACAACACAGGGTAACTCACATTGGAAATGGTCCTTATAAATATACAGTATGTAGGAAAGCCTTTGATTTTCACAATTTATTTCAAATACATCAGAGAACTCACACTATAAATAATCCCTATGAATGTAAACAGAGAAGTATAACCATCAATTTTCCTCGTTCTTTTCTAATACATGAAGGAAATCATGCTAGAACAAAATCCTATGAGTGTAAGGAATGTGGGAAAGCATTTCGTTTTCCTAGTTTTCTTAAAAGACACAAACTTATTCACTCTGAAGTGAAACCCTATGAATGTAAGGAATGTGGGAAAAGATTCCGTTCACTCCAATCCATCAAAGGACATAAAAAGACCCATACTGGTGAAAAACTTTATGTATGTAAGAAATGCAATAAAGCATTCACGCTTTCTTCTTACTTGCAAAAGCATGAAAAAAATCATATTGGAGAGAGACCCTATGAGTGTAAGGAATGTGGGAAAGCATTTCATTTTCCTAGTTTTCTTAAAAGACACAAACATGTTCACTCTGAAGTGAAACCCTATGAATGCAAGGAATGTAGGAAAAGATTCCGTTCTCTCCAATCCATCAAAGGACATAAAAAGACCCATACTGGTGAAAAACTTTATGTATGTAAGAAATGCAGTAAAGCCTTCATGCTTTCTTCTTACTTGCAAAAGCATGAAAAAATTCATATTGAAGAGAGACCCTATAAGTGTAAGACATGTGGGAAAGCCTTTATGTATTTCTGTGTCCTTCAACAACATGAAAAAACTCATACTGGAGAGAAACTCTATGCATGTAAGAAATGTGGGAAAACCTTTCTTTGGTGTTCTTCCCTTTATAAACATGAAAAAGCTCATAATGGAGAGAAACTCTATGCATGTAAGAAATGTGGGAAAACCTTTCTTTGGTCTTCTTCCCTTTATAATCATGAAAGAACTCACAGTAGATTGAAACTCTATGAATGTAAGATATGTGGGAAAGCTTTCTGTTTTCGAAGTTCCCTTCATGTCCATGAAAGAATTCATACTGGAGAGAAACCCTGTGTATGTAAAGAATGTGGGAAAGCCTTCAGACTTTCCGGTAACCTTTGTAAGCATGAAAAAATTCACAGTAGAGTGAAACCCTATGAATGTAAGATATGTGGGAAAGCTTTCAGTTATTTCAGTTCCCTTCGTGACCATGAAAGAATTCATACTGGAGAGAAACCCTATGAATGTAAAGAATGTGGGAAAGTCTTCAGACATTCCAGTAACCTTTGTAGACATGAAAAAACTCATACTGGAGGCAAACCTTAAAATGTAAGGAATGTGGGAAAGCCTTCAGTCATTCCATTCAGCATCATACCCATTAAATAAGTCATTGAAGAGAAACCCTATGAATGCAAGGAATGTGGGAAAAGATTCAGTCATCTAAAATTCTTTGACAGACATAAAAAGGCTCACTCTTGTTGTTGTTTAAACCTTATGCATGTAAGAAATGTAGTAATTCATCCACTCTTCTTGCAAAAGCATGAAAGAACTCATGCCAGGAGAAACCCTATGATGCAGAAAATATGGGATAGCCTTTGGTTATTCCAGTTACCTTCATGACCATGAAATAATTCTTATTGGAGAGAAGCCATACAAATGTTAGGAATGTGTGAAAGCCCTCTGTTTTCCAGTTCCTTTCATAATTATTAATGTAGTCATATTGGAGAAAAACCCTGTGAATGTTAGGAATGTGGTAAAGTTTTTAGTTGTTGCAGTTCTGTTCCACACCATGAGATAATTCATAATAGAGAGAAACCCTGTGAATATAAGGAATGTGAGAAAGCATTAAGTTGTCTCACGTCTTTTCAAGACTATAAAATGACTCACACTGGTGAAATATCTTATGTATGCAAGAAATGTGATAAAAATTTTACTATTGTTCATTCCCTTCAAAAACATGAAAAAAATGTATGAAAGGATTGCAGTAAAGTCTTCAATCGTTCCTGTCAGCTTTGTGACCATGAAAGAACATACTGGAGAGAAAAATCTATGAATGCAAGGAATATGGGAATGCATTTAGTTTTTTCTGTTCTCTTAGTAGACTAGAAAAGATTCAAACTTGAGAAAAATCTTATGAATGTAAAGAATATGGTAAAACCTTCAGCTATTTGAGTTACCTTCAAAAACATGAAAGAACTCATACTGGAGAAAAACTCTATGACTTAAAATAATGTGATAAAGCCATCAGATATTCCAGTTCCTTTGGAGGACATGAAAGATATAATGGTGAATAACCCTATAAATGTAAAAAATGTAGTAAAACCTTTTGCTGTCAACTTACCTTTGAAAACATGGAATAACTTATACTAGATAGAAACTTATGAATATAAAAAAGTGATAAAGTCTTATGTTCCAGTCATTTTGAAATATGAAAAACTCATGCTGGTGAGAAACCCTATAAATGGAAAAAATACAGGAAAATATTTAATTGTTCTAGATTCCTTAAAAGACATAAAAGGTATTATATTGGAGAAAATACCCTATGACTGAGAGATGTGGTTTGAAAATGTGAAAGAATTCACATCAAAAATGGCCTGAATATAAGAAATGTTGTAAGGCTTTTAGGTCTTCCGGTTGTATTTGATGACATAAAATAATTCATTCTGAAGAAAAACTCTTTAATATTGATGTAAAAAATGTTGGAATACCTTCATTTTTCTCGTATTCAATTGTAGATGCATCATACATACTGGAGATGGACCTTATAAAAGTTGGGGTGCACAGCCAGGCGCTTTGGCTCAAATCTGTAATCCCAGCACTTTGGGAGGTTGAGGAAAGAGGTTCAAGTCCAGGGGTTCAAGACCAGCCTGGACAACTTGGCAAGACTTGTCTCTACAATAAATCAAAACATTAACTGGGCGTGGTGGTGGTGTGTACCTGTGGTTTCAGCTACTTGAAAGGCTGTGGTGGTTGTGAGCATGCCACTGCACTCCAGCCTGGGCAACAGAGTGAGATTCCGACTTAAAAAAAAAAAAAAGTGAGA